TTTTTCCTGGTATATTTGACACATGAACTAGAGATTGCCAGCACAATGTTTTCAAATCTTTTCACTTTGAAAGACATGGAGGGGCTTGGGAGGTAGCTCAGTAGAATAAGTGCTTGCCTGGCAAGCGTAAGGGCCTGAGTTCAACCCCCGGTTACAACAACACCAAAAAGAAAAACAAAGAAAGAAAGACATGGAGCCCTTCGAAGGAAGGAGTCGGTTCTTGCTGGGTTTGGTAGCTGCTCTTGACTTTCTCTAAGGCTCACTGTGCGACTCTGAGATGAGGGGAAATGAAGCAGAGTCCTTTGCTCAATGAGAATCTTAACAAGCAGAGATAAGAAGACGTGAACACTAAAGACCAAACTAGAGAAAATGCTAAGAATGGAGACAGGGACTCAGAGTTCAGGTCCTCAAGATGGCTTCCATGAAGGTAGCTTAGGAGAAGACGCTGTGCTCAGGTCTTGCAGGTGGCGGGAGACATAGGCTGGCTTTTTGTCACTGCTTTCCCAGTGAAGAGCCAGGCCCAGAGAAGCTGGTTGCAGAGTGGGGTCAGGGTGGTGTCAGGACCCAGGCTCTGTTCCTACTCCTCATCTTCCAGAGGAGCATGAGTAACCACATTTTCCCACATCCTTTCTTTCTTTTTTTTTCTTTTCTTAGGTTCTTTTTCCTCCCATTGAGGATACAACTTTTGACCATGGGCACTAATTGAGCCCTGTGAGTGCTGTCCCGTGAGCCAAAACCAGGGCCTGTCCCAAATGCTGGACTTCAGGAATGTGTGAGATGACAGCCTCAGACCCATTGGCTGGATCAGCATTGTCACCCAATGCCAGGCCCAGAGCCTTCCGGTCAGTGAAGTTACTTTTTGGACTCCAGGACTATAATCAAACCAGCAGGGTCCAGGGTTCTCCATAAAACTGAATTAAAGCGCTGAGTGAATTAACTGTTTGCTCCTCCTCGTGTGCAATGCATCTTTAATTACATTTCATAAAAACGTCTGGATGGATTGATGGGACCTTATTTAAACTTTAGGTAGGCACAGGGAGCAGATGATAGTGCAATATAACATGTTCTGTTAATATAGTCTCCGAACACATTTACTTTACAACAGTTCAACGGAATCTTTGATGTGGGGCTACTTAAAAATATATTACCTTTGAAAAGATTTCCCTTGGAAGATAGAGTGGGTGCCTGGCAGCTTGTGAGCATTCAGCCAGAGGATCAATTGACAAACACATCAACAGGTGTAATTCACCGTACCGGCTCCCCCGACACATGCAAAGCGCTGTTTTCTTTTAGAAAAAGAATATATTTCTTGAAATGCCTTTCAGTCACGTTGTGGAATTTATGAAGCAAATCTTGTCTGACATAAGCTCCTCACAATGAAGGCAGTGTCTCTTTGGCCTGTCTGCCCCATCTTCTATCAGTATAGATTATTTTAGGTGTTGGTTGGGGTGTGCGACGAGAGGGTGGAAAATAAATGCTGCTTATAGTAAAAAACAGTGGAGACCCAAGTTGCAGAGAAAGGTTGTGTTTTATCTGGAGGATTGCATGTATACTTGTAAAAAGCTATCACTGTTCTGCTGGGGCATTATATTTACTTTTTTTTCCTCTGTGAATTCCTTTGATGGAACAAGAGAATTGTGTTTTTCCCTTGGGCAGATCTGTTTGCTATGGTACTAATGTGTTGGATAAAGGTCTGGCTAAGTGCCTTTCTCTCTACAGCTCTGGGGTTCCCCCAAGTATGGAGGAAAAGGCTGTAAAATTCCAGAAAAAGCTGGCCTGTGCAAGAGTATGGGTGTGCTACATATTCCTCTAAGATCTGTGTGTGTGTGTGTGTGTGTGTGTGTGTGTGTGTGTGTGTTTGTGTGTAGGTCCTCCATGTATTTAATGTTCCTTCTCATTTTCTAACTCTATAAAGAAAACAAAGAGTCCTTCAGGTTGGATCCATTGGCTTAATTGAAAAACTAAGAATAATTGTCTTCTCTCCTTTATCAAGTAAAGGGATAGATTTGACCCAGCAAAGGTAAGGTTCTTTGCTGGAGGGGGACAGGGCGAGCAAGAATGGTCCAGCTCAAAATTGTAGTTTGTTTTCTGTGGCCACCAGCAATGAGCTCCGTAAGGCAGAACCATAAATATGGGTTTGGGGAAAGGCCTGGTCTTGGAGGGACAATGAATTAATGCCAAAGAAACTGGAATGTTGTGATGGATTTAATTTCTCTTGTGCAAAGTCTGATTCACATGTAATTTATGCTAGGGGAAGTTAGCACACTAGCTAAACAACCTCTCCCAAACAACAATCAACCAAACCAACCAACTCCAAACCATCCACATCTTTGAAACATCTGCTCTTGAGGCAGCTCAGTGGTACTTTAATTTTGACCTTAGTTATCTGCAGACCCCAGCTCCTGGGCCTTGGTAAACTTTTCCATTTCTCCCAAGAGAAACTCATTTGGAATGCACAAGGCTTTGGGAATAGGGCTGCACAAGGGACTATACTAGGTCATTGTCCCTGTTGCTTGGACCTAGTGGCAGCCTGGACCTCTCATTTATATCACATGTAGGGACAGATAGCAGGGAGCTAGCATCACACTGGGGCCAGAAGTTTCTCAGTAAATGAAGAGGTCCTCCAGAGAGATAAGCTGGTATCATTGGCTGTCACATGGGTGCTGGCAGAAACTAGAAGCTATTGTCCCCTTCTCTGCTGACTGCACCATGGCAGGGGTGAGCGTGATCTCTGCCCACCTAGCCAGGGGAAAGGGCAACCTCCAGCCTCAGGGAGCCTCCTGTCATGCACACTCACGGAGGGCAGGAGGAGCTCATGCTAGCCTCTCCTGGGGGTTCTCTATGGTGCTGACCCCTCTGTGATATAATATGGTCCCTGGCTCCTGGCGGCCCACGTCTATCTCTTATCATCACAGTTGAGGGGAAGGGACCCAGCCAGTGATGCAGTCCACCTACCCCAACCTTCTGCAGTGGAGGAGGGCGGCCTGGGCAGGTGACTCACCTCACTTCCCTTCTGGTTGATCTGGCTTTGCATTGTATCCTGGTTTCAGAAATGAGGCCCTGTGATTGCACCCACCTGGTACACAGGTCATCTACTACATCTCCATGTGGACCCTGCAGCTGGGCTTTCTGCCTGCATGTTCAGCCCTCCAGGGATCTTGTGCCTAAGCCCTAGCATAGGGTGCCAGCACTTCCTGACCAGTGCTCTCCAAAGCCACTTGCTTGGGAGCTGGATCTTACAGGCCACTCAAACATTTGCTTCCTGCTTGCTCAGCTGGCCTGGCTCAACTAGGGCCCATTTTCTTGTTTCCCCCACTGCCTGCCCAACCATGTAGGGATTGCCCAGCTCCATAGCAAGCAGGTTTCCTGAACCTGGTTTCTTTTCAGGCACTTGCCTTTTCCTCAGTCACTCCCATTGCCTCAGGTGGTTCCCAGGCACCCACCCAGCTTGGTCTGGTGACAGGGCAGTGCTCTGAGCTCAGTGTAGCCATATTACCAAATATGAGTGAACAGCTGACCATGCACAGACATTGTCCAATATAGAGGGTGAGTACAGTCCCTCTTGGTAATGCAATCATCGGTTCTTTAGGGTTTTTTAAATAGATAAGCCCTATCAGCCTTGTTTTAGTAACTGGACAAGGCAGATGAGATTCATTTATTCATTGCCTGTCCTGGGGGGAAACCAGCTAGAGTCCCTAGGACTCAGGTTAACATGTTCTTGAGCCCATGAATTATTTCAACAAGAAAGGATTTGAGGTCTATAATTTCCCCAAATTTAAAAAATCAGCTTTGCAGCAGATCCGGAGGACTGCCCCTTAGCTGTACTTGTGGGTGAGAATTCTTGTCTTTGACAACCCACTGAGCTGGCATTGAATCACTCAATTATTGAAAATTCTTTTTCTAAATAGAAAGTACTTCACAGCTTCTGATGGAAAAATTCCAAAATCTGCAGCAAATATCTAGCTCATTGGCAGAAGCAGGTTTCTGGCATGAGCCACCATTCTTTACTTTAATTTGAGCTCAAGTAGAGGTTTTGCAGATGACCTGGGAATCAAGTTCGGCAAGAAGCCTTGGGGGAGACAGACTCGCGAGTGTGTGAGTCTCACCCACTTGGTCTCACAAGCTCCTTGTGCAGAGAATGGAGCCTTGTTTGGCAGGCTTGGTCGTGTGGGTGTGCTGGGTGGCGAGAGCATTTGGTACGCGCGGAGGCCAAGGGCAGCCTGGCTGTCACTGGGAACTGAAAGCTCTAAATGGGTGGCACTGGAGCTCCATAGGTGGGAGTGGAGAGTAGGTGGGGCTGTGTGTTCTCATCTGCCACAGCCACCTTGTGTCAGGAGCACTTAGCTTCATAAACAAAGCTCTTATGGAACCTCAGTGCTCTGCTGTCACTCAGCCTTCTAAAAACAAAGCTTCGTGCCACCATTTGTAGAATGGTGTGTGCGGTTGGTGGGGGTGGGGTGGGGTGGTGTATGGAATAATGAGACAAAGGGACTGTAATGAAAGCAGCAGATTCCAGGGCTGTCACATCTGTGCCAAGCTGTTCTCTGTTCTCTCCTTACTTGTAAGACTCTGACAAGACACTTGAGGAGCACTCCCCCAGCACCTTTGGTTTTCTCATTTGCACAGCAGGAGGATGCTATTTATTCATCCATTGTTGTGAGGATTAAATGATTCCGTGATTCCCATATAAAATACCTGACCCACTGAGCACGGGCTATATTCCTCTCCTAAATTAAGGCGAGCCCTTGAATGAATAAAAAGTGTCACCGTGGGGTCTAAAGTTTTGGTTAACCTCTGAGCCCCAAGGCAAAGTAGGATTTGGAACTGAAAACTGCCATTGTTTATAGTGTAGCAGACCCACTGAAAAGTGGTATGTCTTGAAGGCCACTCCAGGATGTGGCTGTGGGAGTCGGTCTGCGTGCCACGTAGGTGCAGCGTAGGTCCTTGGCCGTCACTGGAGTGACTGGATCCATCTTCTTGTGCTGAGGCTGTTCTTCAGGCTAAGATTTGTCCTGGGCATGGCTGATGCGGGCCTCTGGCTGCAGCCCGTGGCCAAGCACGCAGAGGTCTGGGGGAGAAGCCTGTCTGCTGCCACTGCCCTGCAGTTCTGGGGCACAGGGGCTGCTCCAAGGTGCCACATCCTGCGTGGGGCTGTCCTTGCTGCTGCTGTTGCTGCTACTGCAGAGAGAAAAACCAAGGTCAGCTCAGACCCTCCTCTGCTGTTCCTTCCCACTCCTCTCCATCCCCCACTGTCCTCTGTGTGTGTCTCTGAGTCCTCTCTCATGTAACCCAGTGGCTCACCCTTGGCAATGGCCCATCTTTCTGTGTCAAGCACATCTGGCTGGGCTGTCCCTGCTGTGTGCTCACCTGCCCACCTGTTGTGGTCGGGCCTGGTAGGAACCAGCTCTCAGCTTTGTAGCTCACAGGCTGAATCTTGTTCTGTCCCCTGCCCAAGATCCTGCTGGTCTGAACAAAGCAAATCCCTCAGGAGCTCTGGGAGCTGGGCCTGTATTTTGTTTTTGTTTCTGAAGCACTTGTTTAATAAAGGACTAGGCTTAGCTAGTTGAATTAACAATAACTGTAATAGCAAAGGAAAAAAACAAAAACCAAAACCCACAAAAACAATAAACAAAACCAATCCTGCTTTCACAGCTGCTGCCCTTTTCCTGAATGGAATGACATAGAGGCTGCTTGGTCCAGCCTTGCCCGGTATTCGGCTAGAACTGAGTTTCCCAGCTGCTGAGTGGGGCTATGGCTGGGGAGGGAACCCCACATCATCCTCAGTCTGACCAGGCAGGCTTTGGAAGAGCAGAAGGAAGGTTGGTAGGGAACAAGTCAGGTTGAGGAGACCAATGTGGACAGCCACATTGGCTATCTGCTGGCAGGCAGGCCTCCAGGTACCTTGCGGAGGCTGGAATCTGGCTCTAGGAGTTCTAATCCTAGCGGTGTGATCCATAGCACATTAAATAATCCTGCAGAGCCTTGGTTTCCTTCTTTTAAAGTGGAAATTGTAAGAGAACCCACCTTAAGTATCAATGTTTGATGAAGCGTGTGAATCTTCTAGCAGGTAGCTAGCACCTAAGTGTTGTGGGGTGTGGTGGGAGGGGTGGCACGGATCCTTGGCTTTCAGGCAGTGAGGACCCTTCCGAGTGCCTTTGAGCCTGTTATATCTGTCTTGGTGTCTGGTCCCATTTCAGGCCCCTGCCAGTGTTCAGGGCTCAGTGTTGTTAGTGGGCCACTGTTGTCCCTCTGTCCTTCTCCCTGAGCCCTGGGGCATATGCCCCACCTGTACTGCTCCTTACCTGGAGCAGCTGGTGGAAATCACCAGGGAAGCCTGGAGAAAGCCCATGGCCTGCTATTCTGGGCCTGGCAGGTGGCCTGAAGGTCAGGCCTGGTGACTGATTTTCCTGGTTGTCCCCCTCTTTCTAGAACTGCTGGCCACAGAGCAGTCTGAGGCAGGTCTCACTGGCTCAGGTCAGGAAAAGGTGAGAAGGAGCACACTCCCAGGAGGCAGTGTGGAGTGCATACAGTACCCCAACACCCCGAGACCTTGCAGGGATTCAGCTCCTGACTGCCAACATGACATCCTCATAAGCCAGCTTCCTGAGTATGTCTCCAGGGATAGAAGGGCCCCAGGGCCCACAATCAAGAGGATATAGACATCACTTTTATTGTTTCAAAAGGCTCATGTCTAGCACAGGTGACATGACAGGAGGCAGAGCCCATTGCAGTTGCAGGCCCATTAATCCTGCTGTGCTTGCCTCACCGGAAGTCCTGGTGGGCACAGCTGTGTCCCTGTAAGTTGCTGCCTATGAGCTTGGGAAATCCGTGTCTAGGTGCCTAGTGTCATCTTCCCCATGTGGGATGGCAGAAAAATATGCTTGCCCTCTATAGAGAGGCAAGAGCTTTCTACCATTACAGCTAGAGGTTCTGATTCTGGGTCCCAAATTCACACCCCGGGGTGGGGCTGAGCATATTCCTATCGTGTGCTCTTTGTGTGGAATGTCTCAGAGTCGTGGTCATACCGAGAGGCAGGGGAATGGGGCAAGTCAGGGGAGGGATCACTCAAGTGCTCAAGTGGTTATTTTGACCTTGGGCAGGTTCCCCTTTCAAGCTACAAGGAACCCTCCTCTCGCCCCAAAGATTGGGATTCAGGGCATAAAACAACCGTTTAGGCTGCTGTATTCTGAAGAGAAGCCCTAGAAAAGGGCATTATTTTCTTCTTGAACAATTTTATGTTCTTGAGCAACTTTATGGCTCCTGCTGTTTTAAAATGTTAGTGTTTTTAATTAATGCCATTTTATTGTCCCTGTTCTCTCAAGCTCTTCTCCTGAAGGGCACAGTTCTAGAAATCTAATAACGGAATAAGTAGGTAGTGTGAGGAATAATGCATTAACATTTATAGAGGTTCTTAGATGAAAGCCACTGTGCTGTAGGAAGCCCATTTTAAATGTAAGAAAAGAGCAACGTTACACTAAGATTCTTGCAAAAATAATCAATATTTCATTTCTTTCAAGTGGCTGGGGAAGTTTATATAACTATTATCATGCACAACTTTCCTGAGATAATACCTTTACTAACAATTGACTGTCGCGTACTTTGTAAAAAATTACCATTTATGCCCAGACAGATTGTGAAGGCTGCACCGTGTGTCACACGTGCAGAAATTCGCTGCAGATTTACACAACTGTGGGTAAGGCAGCGACAGCAAGAACTGCAGTTGGTTGGGCTTTGTCTGATCTGTATCAAGACGCATGGGTAAGAGCTCTTCTCTAATAGGCTTCTGATGGACATTTTCCCCATATAGTCTGTAAAATAACTACTTGAGCACTTGAGTGATCCCTCCAGTGCTCATGAGGTGCCTACATAGACTCGCGTCCCCTTGCGGCCCTGCGCGGAGTACTCTTGGCAGGCTGGGCCTATCCGGTGCGAGTCACTTGCGCCTGCGCAGAAAGGCACAGTCAGAACAGCCTGCCCAGGGAAGGGGCGGCAGCGCCTTCTCCAGGACGTGGTACACTCATGAAGCCTCTTGTTCTTACTTTACAAACCTCTGAAGTCGGTGAAAGGAGGGCTAGGTCCCTGGGGAATGGGCAGGCCGCCACTCATATTCTGTGCCACCAGCACTAGCCATTCTCAAGATGTGGTCTGCAGACTTCGTGGTGCGTTCAGGGCAGCCCTTAGGTCAAGCCTGTTTCCTTCATAATATGAAGATGTTCCTTGCCCTTTTTGCTCACTCTCAGGAAAGTGGGATCAAGTTTCCAGAGCCCATACACTGGGTCGTATCATCTCAGACCGACTGGTTGCAGGAGCAGATCTCAGGGCTCAGCTGTCTTCCTAGCTGTTGAGCCAGATACCAACAAAATTTGCAAAAATGGAAGATCGTGCCACTCCTCTGACTTAATTTTTTGGTTGTTGCAGAAAGCAGACTTTTCATAAGAATATGTTATTTGTGTTACCATGGTGATGATTTATCCTTTAATAACCAATAAATGTTTTGCACATTTCTCAGCTTTAATTTCTATTACAGTAAAAATGCATGGACTACATTCCATTCACAGAGGCTCTTTGGGGTTCTCAATACTTTTTTTTTTTTTTGTCTTTTTGAGACAGGGTTTCATTATGTAGTTCAAGCTGGCCTTGAGCTTACTTTGTAGCCCAGGGTCTCAAACTCTCAATGATTCTCCTGCCTCAGCCTCTTGAGTGCTGGGATTACAAGTGTGTGCCACCATGCCCAGCTAGTAATTTTTTTTTTTTTTAATTTTTATTTTTTGGCAGAACCAGGGATTGAACTCAGGCTCTTGAGCTTGCCAGGGAAGCGCTTATTCCACTGAGCCATCTCCCCAGGCTAGTAATTTTTTTAAAAAAAATGTATTCGCTACAGGGTCTCACTTTGCAGCTCGGACTCGTAGTGATCTTCCTGTTTTCATCCTCACCAGTGCTGGGATTACATGTGTGCACCCAGTCTTGGTGGCAGGCTCAGCGTGCCCAGGGGTGGGGCTGGCAAAGCGCATGGTACAGGGGATCGAACCCCAGTCCCTATGCTTGCCTAAGCAGACACTTAGTCTGCTGAGCTATCTCGCTGGCCCTGCAGCTAGTAATTTTTAACCACTCAACCAGATAGTGACCAGGTAGCTTGCTGGACCCAGTGAATAAGGAACAACAGAAAGCAGCTGCTGGGTGCAGACAGAGCTGGAGTGAGCTGACCACTGGCTTTTCCTTTCACTATTCTTTCATTTATAGAGTAAGGGGAGTGGTCAGGTAGGTTAATTTGGTCCTTGTAGTCTTTAAAAAAAACAACACAGCCTCTTTTCTGTTAAAATCTTTCTCAGGAACCCGAAGTATTCCAGATAAATGCTCAGTTGCACATGATGGAAGAGGGGCCACTGTTCTCTGTACCTCTTTCCCACTTGCCTCTTTTCTTGGGGCACAGTTTGAGAACTACTGACCCTGACAATCCACAGAGTCCCTGTGCTCTTCTCCCTTCCAAATACCCGAAGGGTAGTGGCTCTAGGAAATTTCTTACCTGCTTTGGCTGGGCTGGGATTCCCAAGAGGCACCGGTGGGGTTGGAACCAGGCAGCTGAAGTTGGATGCCTAGCTGGTGGTGGGGAGCTGTCCTTTTGACGAAAGGCAGGGGATTGAGGGAACACAGGGCCATTCTCTGCTGTGAATCTGCTCTCATCCATGACCTGGAACTGCTTCTCCAGCATACTGCTTGGGCCCCCAGAGGGGCCCCAGGCTCTGGTGGCAGTGACTGTGGGGTCAGTGGGCAAGCTGTTGAGAATGGTGATTTAGCTTCAAACAGAGATGATGTGGCTGGGCAGAATGTGGCAGATACCTTGGCTGAGGAACCTTGACTGTTGTCAGAGTCTCTGGTCTCGTCCTGCTCCTGTGATGTGGACACTGGTAGGGACGTGGAGGAAACAGAGGAGGGGGAGCTTGCTTCCTTGTGCTTGGCAGGAGAGCTCCCTGGAGGTGGGCTAGGAGACTTGTGTTGGCGTGGCAAAGGTCCCTTCTTTGCTGGTGCTGGACTCAGCACCTTGGGGTTCACGGGTGGGCTGGGAGCTCCAGGGCTGGCTGGTGGGCTGGGGGAGCTGATCACAGACGGGAGATTTGGCTGGGCAAGTCCCTGGGAGGAGGGTGGGCCGTGCAGTCTCCTGTCTGCTTGGGGCACCCAGTGTGCCTTTGTGGGAGAGGCCTTGCTGACCATGGGGGGACTTCTCTCTCGGCTCAGCCTGGAGGCCTGTGTAGAATGAGTTCTTCTTGTGACTCTGGCCAGGCTGGGTTCTGAGGTCCTGGTTTTCCCAGATGAAAGGCTGGTGTGGTGCCAGGCAACTGTCTTCTGGGGATGCTTGGAGGGGCTCGTGGCCTTGGCTGCTTGGGCCTGACTCCTAGCCTTGCCCTTCTGCTCTGAGTCTCTGCTGGCTGCTGGTGGGAGGCTGGGCTCCAAGGCAAGCTTCCTGGGATTGCTGCCGCTCTTGGTGCTTGCTAGCCCTGTGCTATGCAGCTTGGTGGAACTGGCAGTGCCCTTGCTGGGCAGCAAGTCCATGGGCTCCATGGAGGCTCTCAGCTTTGAGGAAGCCCACGTTACTCTGGTAGGACCAAACCTTTCCAGTGCTGGCGCTGGTGTCCCTGCCGGGGAGCTTCCTGCTGGGTTGCAGGCTTCTGGAGGCTCCAGAGAAGTGAATGACTTATCCATCAGGATTTCCAGAGGTGGTGGAGGGAGTTGCTCTGGGTCCCCCTCTGCTGCACAATGTGTGTTCTCACTCTTAGATGCTTCTGCTGTGGAGAAAGCAGGAAAGCCAGGCACCAATGGTCTCCAGCCCATGTCTGCTTTGAGATAGTTGCTACCCACTGCTGGGGAAATTTGGGGCTTGGGATACAAAGGAGCAAGCCCCCTGTAAATGGGAAATCTAGGAGGCATGATGGGGACCCCCCACCTCCTGCGACAGGGGCTTGACCCCGAGTTCTTAGCGTCCCCTGGTGTCCTCATGCTCTCAGCAGAACTGAAAGTTTCAATAAGTTTTTTGACTGATGTTCTGGTGGGATATCCCCTGATGAGCCAGTCCTTGGCTCCGGAAGCCTCGCTGTCCTTCTCACTTGATGGGACGGCACCTGGCAGCTTCTCAGTGTTTCCCTGCCAGGGCTGTTCACCTTCAGGGTGGGCACTGCGTCTCTGCCAGATGTTCTTGTCCTGACTGGGCAAGATGCTGAAGTCCTTGGTGAGGGATGCCTTGAGCTTGCTGCTGGGGGTGCTCGGGCTCACCCTGTAGGTGCTGGGGAGCCTCGGAGCTGCTGGCCTGGCTTGCAGAATCTGCTCCTTGTTCTGGCCCTGCCGTTTGGCATCCATGGCATAAAACACTTCCAGCCTCTGACTGAGATCTCTCTGCACCCTCTGCAGCTCCTGGAGAGTGGGGTCCTCCTCAGGGCTCTTAAGACACCCCTCTGACTGGGACCTCCTCTGCCTCTCGGGGGCCCTCCTGCTGCTGCTGACCGTGCTAGGTCTTGGTGGGACTGTTGACCTTCTGTCCTCTTCCTCAGCCCAGTCTTGATGTCCAGAGGGGATAGGGACAAACTTGATCCTTTCACTGATGGCTTCCTTCATCTTCAGAGTCATCTCCCGGGCCTGGGGGCTCCTAAGCTTCCTGGAGCGTGGCTGAAAGAGGCTTTCCCTATCAGAAGGGGAAGACTGGGGCCTTGAATGTGGGGCTCTTTCCTGCTCTGTGCACAAACTCATGCTGCTAACTTCTTTGTCCTCCTCCTCTGGGCTGCTGTCCTCACTGTCACTGAGGGATGGAGTAGCCATCAGCCTGGAGCTTTTAGGGAGATGTGCTTTTGTGGGGGCTGCAATCTGCAGAGAGTCACAAGGCATGCTGTTGCCCACCACCAAAGACTTAGAGGAAGTCCTCTCTGGGCCTGTGCTGGGGGCGCATGGCCTCCTTACTTCACCCTGTGTTGCTGGTTGAACCTTTGTCATGGGAGGCCTTGATAGTGGGCAGTCCTGCACTCTGTCCAGACCTCTCCAGAATGGACCTTGCTGCCAGGCCTGTCCTGACAGACTGGCCACCATTTGGGGTGAAGCCTTCCGTTTCAGTTCTGTGGGCTCTGATGTGAGCTTGTCCATGGATGGCACGGACTCATTGTCAGCACTGATGCCACTGTCCTCAGAGCACAAGGGTAGATCTTGTGGCCTGGGGTCACCACGGCCTTCACCTGTGAAGTTCTCCAGCTGCACCAGTGTCCTTAGGAGACGTTCCTCCATGCCCCTTTTCACGCTCAGCTTGTTTTTCAAGTGGCTTGCAGTGGAGTAGAGGTAACCACTGGAGCCCTCTAGTAAGCTGCCTGTGAGGGTGGCCACTGTGCCGTGGAGCACCTGTAGCTTGCTGACTGTGTACTGCAGGAGCTGTTGCAGGAGGTCTGGCTGCTCCTGGGGATCTCCTTTCCTCAATGGCCAAACCAGATTGTCCTTAACCTCCTGGAGGAGCGCTTCTCCATCCCTAGAGATCTCCCCCAAGAGCTGGCTCACCTCCTCAAAGCACAGCAGCAGGAAGCGGAGCATGGGCTGCAGCAGCTCCCGGGTCTGGGTGGTCTGCTGGGTGAGGTGCACGATTGCTTCGTACTTGGAGAGGCTGGAGTGCAGGTAAGTGTAAGCATGCTGGTGAGCCCTGACCAGGGGCTCAGGGAAGTCCACTTTGCCTGCTGATCCTGGAGCAGGCACGGCAGTTTGACCTGGTTTGGAGGTCTCCTGGGTAACACTTTGCACACTCTCTTTCCTGGGAAAGGCTACCTCTTGTATCCCATGGGAGCCTACTGTGGTGAATGCAGTGTCTTCAGCCATGTGGGAAGTTTGGGTCTCTGGCATCAGTCCTTGCATATCTCCCATGAGCTGACGAAGTCCTTCAGCCACGGTTTGAGTCCTTCTGGAACTTGACAGCTCCTCCATCAGCCTCTGTCCCTGGGGCAGGCTCCCCACAGTATCATAGCAGGCAGGACTTTTAACCAGCAAAGGGACAGAAGCCCTTGTCCTGCTCTTCTGATGTCCTGGCAAAGTCACTTTAGGCGTTTTCAAAAACTGAATGCTACTCTTTGCAGCGGTGTTTACACTGTCACTGTGTGAAGGTGTGCAACCCATGATTTCAGCTGATAGTCCACCCACAATCTTCACAATTTCCCATGAATCATCTGGGAAACAGGAGCAAGAGACAGTCTCACTGGTCCATCCATGCAGTTGGAGGCCCAAGTCCTTTGAAGTCCAGGGTGCAAGGTCCTAGATGTGGACCAGGATCTTCTCATCTTCCCAGTCCCACTGTGAAAAAGGAATGGTGACCATCATCTTTGTTTTTCTAGTTTTGAACCTTCTGCTGTCAGTGAGAAGTGGGACCATTCCAAAGCACCTAATCGCGTGGATTATGAGCCTGTGTTTTGCTTGTTTCTTAACAGATGTGGATAGCAAGTGGAGCTTTAAGCCTATTAGGTTAATCATGCTCTAGCCAGTCAGCACTCACAGTGTGTTCTAATATAGAACTTCTCAGCATTTACTATCTTGGGAAGCAGATTATTTTTGCATGTGCTTATGCTTTTAATTCTGTTCAGATGCCTGCCATATGAAACCTAGAGAAATTAGCTGTGATTGTGAAAGCCTTTGGAAGAGATGCATTTGTGGATGAGAAGAGAGAGTTTGACGATTACAAACTCCAGGAGTAAAGTGACCTTCACAGCTTACCAAGGGCAAAGCAGAGGAATGCACTCTAATCTGCTCTTATCAAGGTCCCCCCACAACACACAGCAGACCACAGCCAATTGGTGCATTGCTTTCTTCAGGGCTTGTAAAATCCTGCAGCTGTAGTGATGGACGTCTTTAACTAGTAAGGCAGTGAATGAGCAAGGCACGATTGCCTCCCTCTATATTAGCACCTTGAGTTAGACAGCAGGAGAACTGTCCTTCCTGGCTGGGAGGGAGAAAACAGGAAAACTTACTGTCATGTCAAGTTTCAAATCAGTCACTATGGGCCACAGTGACTCAGAGGCCAATGCTCTCCTGGGAAGAGATTTTTTTATTAAACTTTTCTCCTAGGAAAACAAGCTACACCTAGGCAGTGGAGAGTTACTCAGTCATTAGGAGTAGAACTCAAGGGGAAAAATGTGTTTTTCTTTTCAAGCACATCTTTCTACTCAAGCTGAGCAGAACACTCTTGCCCTTGGCCAAGGGTAGCAGCTGACTTTTTAAAATTCCTTTTATAAGCCTCACTTGCTGTCAGAAAAGTCTAGAGCAAGAATTTAGAGCAGAGAGACATGGATTTGGATCTTCTTATCCTTTGAGTTGGGGACGTTTGCTGAGGCAGAGATCATCTTTCGAATGGGGACAGTGGTGCCTCCCTTTCTGAGCCCTTGTGGGGGTCAGGTCTTGGTTAAGTGCTTTAACCAGGACCTGGACGGGATAGGAATTAAAAATAATTCCTTACTCCTTTCTCCTCAGAAGCTAAGCCAAGCCCTACCCATTCCCTGAACTGTCTGGAAATAATCTCCAGCTATTGGTCTTGTAGTTCTCTAAATTTGGCTTCTTTGTTCATTTAGCATCCCGTGTCTGGGCAGAATGGCCTTGTGTTTGGTGCATGGCTGCCCTAGGGTTTTCCTAAGGCTTCAGTGTGTAATTTCTGTGCTCTTAAGCACGTTGACACAGTGATTCCCCAAGTCTGAAAGAGGCTTTTATTTCCCATTTCCCATTTTGGGACATTGGGTCATTGCCAGTGTTGAACATTCCTAATAGAAAAAATGCTGCCTCAAGCGTCACTGAGATCTCCTGAAGGTGATGAGATTGGAGTTAATATTCTGGCTTTCTAGTTTTCCTTTTTCCTCTGGAGCTTTGTACAACAGTAATCATAACACCGTGGATGTCGAGATGTCTCCGAGACAGAGAGGACACAGTCATCTCCTGTCCTGTGCTGGGAGCAAGCTGGAGAACAGCTACCTGGGCTGCGGGTGGAACCAAGTGCTCAATGCTCCAGAGTGCATTGTCACTAAAGTGCCCCAATCTGTTTATTTGCAGCAGAATGCAGGGGAGACCCAAGCTGAGTCCGTGCCTGGGGGCAAGCCATGTTGAGCATGAAGTTATTGTTTCATTTATGCCCATGCTGGGCTGGCCGGTAAACAGGGGTGCCATGCTCAGAGCCTATTCTTTCTCCTCTGGGTCTTGCATTGAACAGAATGAAAGCTCGTCTGAGGGAGGCCTTATGTAAATTCTCCTGCCCTTGGGATTTGGGCCTCTGCTTGAATTATCTTTGTAAAAACCTTTGATGTAAGTGCTGAAATTATTTCTAAGCCAATGATCAAAATCAAAGTGTTTGCCTGGAGGATCAGCTGTCAGATAGCTCTGTAACTTTTACGCTTGTTTTAGGACTATTATGAATAATTCAAAATAAGGTGTTTATATTTTGCCATTCATTTTTTTCATTGAGACCAACTTTTTTTTTTTTTTTTTAAATTGGGCTTGTTTTAAATGGAAAAAAGACCTCAGACATCTACACATATGCCTTAGGAACCATTGATTCCACTCCTAAGAATTTACCCAAGAGTGTTAAATGGCAAGCCTCAAAGAGATTGGTAAAGAATATTCATGGTAACTCTATTCACGTCTATCAATAAGGAAATACATTTGATGTAATTATACAGTGGACTACTACCTCAAAATAAAAGGGTCAAACTATGGAAACATAATAACTTGGGTAAGCTTAAAAATAATTATGATGAGTGAAAGAAGCCAGAGCCAAAAGAGTACATTCAGAAAGGCTCTACTTAGTGGAGTTCAAGAAGAGGCAAAACTAATCTATGGAGTTAGAGAACTCGGAAGAGTGATATCTCTACAAACATCTAGTGACTGATTTTGATTATGGAGGGGAAGCAATTTCTTAAGGTGCTAGAAATGGTTTATATATTAATCTGGTTGTTGGTTATATAAGGATGTAAAAATTGTGTGAGTTGTGCAGTTAAGTTTATGCTTTGTTTAGTACACACATGTCCCTTATTAAAATACAGTGTTACATAGTTTGTTTTATGCCTAATAAAGTCTTAGCTATGATGCTATTCATTTTAATAAGGGCCCCTATATTAACTATCTGGCATTGCCTCACAAATTACACCCAAATTTATCAGATATCATCTCAGTTTCTGTGGATTAGAAATCTGGAAGCAGCTCAGCTGGGTACTTCTGGCTGTGGGTCTTTTATGAGGTTGCAGTCCAGATATGACAGCTAGTGTTGCAGGCATTTAAGGCTTCCCTGGGGCTGCCTCATTGTTTTTTTTTTTTTTTTTTTTTTGTATAGAAAAATAAGCCTAAAATCTTATTTCCTCATCTTGTTTTTTTTTTTTTTTTTTTTTTTTTTGTATTTTAGGGAAGGGCCTACAGGGTGTTCAGAGTCTCACTACTAGATAGCGGAGAGTAATCTGAGAGGAAGGAAAGAGACAGACACTTGCAGGCCACACCCCCACCCGCTGAGCCAACCAGACCTCACCTCCTACCAGCACATTCAGCACCTGAGCTCACGAACAGACGAATTCATTAGCAGGAATAACCCCCCTGTGATCCAATCACCTTCCAAACACATGAGGCTTTGGGGGAACATTTGAGATATAAACCATAACACTGGCTTAAAATAAAGCATAGAGAAAGCAAAAATAACTTCTTAGATCAGGACATAGCAGCTTGGGCCCTGGCCTCTCTTGGGCCACTTGCTCCAGGGAAAACCAGCTGCTGTGTTTTTTTGACAGTGAAGTGACCCTACGGAGAGCCCCAAGTCATGAGAGACTGAGGCCCCCTGCAAACAGCTCACGAGGCACCAACAGCTCTCTTAAAACCATTGAGTCAGGGCTGGCCAAATAGCTCCGCAGATCAAAGCACCTGCAAGCAGGCACAGGGGCCAGGGGTTCAATCCCCCAGCCTGCCGTGCTCACCTCGCCCCTGAGGCACACTGAGACCACAATTGAGACTGGGCATGGTGGTGTGCGCCTGTAATTACAACTGTTGGGAGGTTGTAAACAGGTGGATCACTACAAGTCCAGAAAGGCTCTACTTAGTGGAGTTCAAGAAGAGGCAAAGCTAATCTATGGAGTTAGAAAACTTGGAAGAGTGATATCTCTACAAACATCTAGATCTCTACAAACATCTGCTGGCCTGCTATGAGCTGCTTCTCTTTGTCATGCTGCTCCACCTCGGACCAAGGGATTGTGGACTGAAACTTGTACAAACTATGAACCAAAATAAACCTTTCCTCCTTTAAGTTGTGGGTGCATCACTGAGAAAGCAACTAAGGCAATTCTACTTTTGGGAAAAATATTAGGTTCCACCTTCAAAAATCACTTTAAAAGAGATCTGGCCATATCACAGGTCAAGTTGTGATAGCCTATATAATTGTGTATACTAAATATTAGTTTATTAAAGTGCTGCTCCTTGCTGTTCAGGACACTGAAAATCTCTACTCCACCCTGGCTCGTGTGGCCCAGAACTAAATTGATCAGCAAGAGAGGGTTCTGTTGTAACCATTTTTGTGGTGCCACTTTTGAGTCCAGTATGAATGTCATTTAAACATTGTCTATTGGACCAGGGATTTAGCTTAGTGGCACAGCACCTGCCTGGCAAGCATGAGGTCCTGAGTTCTATTCCCAGTGCTGCCCCCCCCCCCGAACCAAACAACAACAATAACAACAAAAACCCCACAACTGTCTAGACTTTCATATACATGGAATCATATAACATTTAGTGTTTTGGTTAACTTCTTTCCTTAAAAGAGTTAATATTGAGAGTCTTTTATGTCATGTTGTACCAATAATTCATAGCTTCTTATTGATGAGTAGTAGCATGGTTAGCTTTAAAAAAATGTTCATAGGAGCAGTATTTAAAATAAAGATGGAAACATCCCAAGTGTTCATTAACTGATGGATAACTAAAATGTGATAAATACATATAAAGGGAGTACTGTTTGACCATGAAGGGCATGAAA